TATCTGATAGGCGCACTCCATTGAAATAGGTGTTGTCACAAAGTTGTTGCAAGGTTTAAATAATAGTAATAATTTTATGTCCGTCTTAAGAGTGTGATGAAAACAAAACAAACTCACTGCCAGAGTCAATGCTGAATTACAGCAATCTCCTTGTGGGCCTCCAAGACTAACTGTTTATGCAGGCACAAAGCTACTGCTCCCCAGGAGGGGCTGGGGTGGTTTCGAACCGCCGACCAGGGGGATCCTAGTCCAAAACATAAGCACTACACCACCCCTGCTCCCACCACAGCCACCCTAAGACCAACACAAATAAAAAGGGTTATGAAATTCCCTATTACAGGATGTAAGCCTGGGATGGTACTGCAGTCCCCAGGCAGTACAGCTATTTAGAAGCTCAACTGACCAATTGTTGGGGATTAGACAGACAGGTTGTTGGTCCAATGCCACACAGACACACCTGGAAGACAGGTCTGGAGATATGTTTCTGAAAGGTCACAACCTTGAACACTGTGAGTTGAAACTGACTGGACTGCAACTCACAACATCAGGGCTGATGTTGGGCCTTTGGACGGAAGTCAGGGTCTGGCAGGAAGCCAGACTGAGAGAAAAGGGCCGGAGTGGCAGTCCTTCACAGGCAGCTTCCTGAAGTCCATCTTGGCCATCTTCAGCGGAGACCGTCTCCAGGTTTCATTCACCAGCTCTGTCTGGTCCAGGGAGCTGGCTGAACCAAGCAGAAGGAGCTGACATGGCCCAGCCAGGGTTCCTCTGGAAGAGAGAGCCCCATCTTCGCAGCCCCCCCCCCCACCCACCCACTGGCATCTTGGCTCTCTGGACCTGTTGCTAAGTCTGTTTTACATCTTCCCTAGGCTCAGTTCACGCCCACCTCTTCTCTGGTGTCTTGCAGCTCTCCTCCCCTTGCTGAGCGGCTCACCGCTTTCCTCAAGATTTGTACAATGCACTTGTCATCGTCTCAGGTGGGCTGGGTCCTCTCCCCAGTTCTCATCACAAAGTCTGCTGGCAAACCACTCTCTAACCATGTCTGTTATCCCCCAACTCCTGGTCCTCGTATGGCGAAGCGCAGAGTTTTTCTTTTCTTTCTTTTTTTTTAAAATCGTTTTATTAGGGGCTTATACAACTCTTACCACAATCCATACATCAACTGTGTAAAGCACATTTGTACATTCATTGCCCTCATCATTCTTAAAACATTTCCTCTCCACTTAAGTCCCTGGCATTAGGTCCTCATTCTTCCCCTCCCTCCTCGCTCCCCCCTCCCTCATGAGCCCTTGATAATTTATAAATTATTATTCTGTCCATATCTTGCCCTGTCCAACGTCTCCCCTCACCCACTTTTCTTTGAAAGTATCAGGGGAAAAAAAGTCATCCTGGCATGGGACAACCTCGGTGGGAGGGGATGGTCCAAGGAGCAGGGCCAGGGAGTCAGGTGACTGTGTGGCCTTGGGCAAATCACTGCCAGCCGACTTCTCCAACATGGCAGCAATTCTCTCCCTGCAGCTGAGCCACAGTGTCTATTTCAGCTGGTTGACTTTCCAACCGGAGCAACACAATGATCTATTCACAAGCAAACCCAAAGACCTAATAAGCAAATCAGAGTGAAGACTCTCCAGGCAGTTAGAATCTTCATTGCTGGCAAAAGCTTAGAAACACTTCATCACTGTCCCAGACCCATCTGCCCCCTGGGGTTCCGAGTGCATAATTTAACTCCCCAAGTCCAGATCAAGCCAAGTACCTTCCTCTTCTTCGATCCTACTTGTCTTGTTGGTAGACTGATGTGGAGATAGGGCGAGTGCGGGCTTGGGGCTTCTCTAGCTGCCCTACCTTTGGAGGCAGATCCTGGGACCCAGTAGCCCTTGGCAAGCAGAGGCCCAGAAGGAGCTGGACCAATAAAAGAGCGGAAGTCCGAGGCCATGCCAGCAACATGAGGCCATGCCAGCAACATGTGCCCATGCAGAAACCCTCCGCACTATTGGGAAAGGTGTTCCTGCTCTTTCCCATTAATTTATTAAACAAGCACTTAGTAACAGCCTATTCATGTAGCAAACTGCCTGCTGAGCCCAGGAGGCGGGAATTCACTGCACAACCTTGGCCTCTCTAACTGCAGGCTCTGCTGGGAGGGCTGCATGCAGAGACAGGGCAGAAGGAGAGTGGGAATTCAGAGGAAAGCGTTTAGGAGAGGATAGAGAGCGCTTTTCTGGGGCTGGTGATCCCTACAGTTGAAACCTGAAATGGCAGTGGTCGTCAGGAGAAGAAGAGGACAAGAATCTTCATCCCAGAGGAAACGGTCTGCTTCTAGGCCGCAAGGGAGCAGAGGAATGTGGGAAAAAATAGGAAGCGGAGTCTCACTGGCTGTGCTGAGTTCAAATCCCTGCTCCTCCATCTTCTAGCTTTAATTATCTTATGGAAGCCTCCTTACCTGATAAGCTAAGGAGCCCTGGTGGTGTACGTAGTAGGGAACCACCAGCTGCTTTTATTAGTCGGAATCCAGGTGATGGCAGCACCTTTGGGGTTTTTTGTTTGTATGACAAGAAGGAGCCCTGGTTGTATATTGGTTTAGGGGCTGGGTTGCTAACCACAAGGGAATTAATGTAAACCTTCCCGCTGCTCCTCCAGAGAAAGATGAGGCTGCCTGCTCTAGTAAAAATTTACTGACTCAGAAACCCAAAGGTGCACTTCTACTCAGTCCCTTAGGGTCACCATGAGTCAGAATCACCTCAATCACAGTGAGTTCGGTTTGGTACGTCTGATACATTCCCTGCAGGGTAGCTGTGAAAATGAAACAATGAACTTAAAACCCTGGGCACCCAGGGTGCTTAGTGAATGGTACGAACCAATGTTACAGTATTCCTCAGTGCAGGTGACCATGAGCTGCTAAACCACAGGTTTGTCATCTTTACCTTTGTAGTCCCAACGTCTAGCCTGGCATTTTACAGGTACCAAAAATTATTTATTAAATGAATGCTGAACAAGTGCAAAGGCACATAAATAAATGCATTCTGGGGCCCAGAATGTCATTTCTCATATGGCAGCAACCTACCTTTGTCCATACCAGCAGACCACCACTTCTCAAAACTCCCCTAAACACTGGCCCTTCCAAGCACACACTACCTAGCAGCACACCTTCTATGTCAGCTCCCCCTACACACAAGACACACACACACACACACACACCCAGGAGGCTTCTCCACCAGCCACACAAATGCACAAGCTCAATTGTTCCAACAGGTCTTGGAGCTATCCCTCAGGAAGCAAGCACCTAGTAGCTTCTGGAAATGCCAGAATAAGATGTTTTCTAGGGGGCCCTCCAACTGATGGGCACACCACCACCTTTCTTTCTCCACCTGCTTAGCTTCCCACCTCCAGCAGAGAAAGCACCCCACCCTGCTGCTCCAGCCAGCTGAGAACCAGAAAGCCTCACTTGAACTACCACTCGCTAAATCTGATTTGCTGCTGTGACCTCAGACAAATCCTTTCCCTTTTAGTGCCTCTGCCTCCTAGCAGGGAGAACAGAAAAGGAACTATGTACTGCATACTAACCTGGTCCTTAAGTGAGGATAATGGAGATAACAAATGAGATAACGTCTCTGATGTGCAGAAGGCCCCTCAGAAGAAAGGCGCTGGATAAACACAAGGTGTTGCCTCACACCTGATTAGTATGTACGCCTTCCACCCACGGCCTCCCACCCACAGCCTCTGCTCTTCCCCATCCTTGAACACCCAACCCCCTTTCCATCTGAACCACCATCTCTAATACCTATCTTTATGTGAATACATATCCACAGACATTTCAAACACCTCCACTGCCCCTTCCCGCCCCCAGAAAATTGTGAACTTAGAGGAAGCTCAGGTTACAGAGGCTCTCTTGCCCCTACTGGCAAACTTATGTTGAGGGTCTGGGGCATAGAAATAAAGCGCCTAAGAGACAGGTCATCTCCCACCTGGCTGTTCTACTCACACAGCAGAAGACCCTTACCTGGCACAGTCCCTGCCCAGTGCTCTCCTGGACAGACAGACCGCTGGGTGGTCGCAGGGCTGTTTTGCAGCTGAAAAGCTGCTGACAGCAGGCTGCTGGCTGAGGATGGGATGGGAGATGTAGAACCCAAGAGGGTTTAGACCCTCGAGCCCCTTAGCACGCTTCTTTTTTTTTGGAAATTGAAGGCATGTGGCCCATGTGGGCCAGCTGCACACTCATTTGCTCCACAATCCAATCCTTTCCACTGGAGCAGGGAAGAGAGACATCAACAGCTGCCCCTCCCTTGGTGCCTGTTGCTGCTGCCCCTGCTGGAGTGTAGCAGTGGACAGCAGAGTGTTTGTGGCTGGTGGGGAAAAAGCAGGACTAGCTTGCCCGTGGTGGGTGAAGCTGGTGTGCGTGCTGATGTGTGCGTGTGTATCGTCAGTTCTCTCGGCCTGGATTGCACACCCAAAACTGACCCTGTTCCTGGGTACCATTCAGACATCCTCTCTCCACCTCAGTCCGTCACTGCCGGCAATGGAATACTCTAAACCCACGCGTGCGGACACAGCACATCTTCAAAGTTCCCGAGAGCAAAGTTCAGCAGCCCCGCTCCCGCTATCCAACCCTCTCTCGAGGGCTCGGATCCCTCCCGTCTGGGGCATACAACCCACTGCTTCACCTCTGACACTAGTGTCATCAAAGCATTTATTTCCAGCAAGATCAGATTCGGGGCTGAGAGGAATAAGCTAGTCTGCCGGAGACAAAGACAGAAAGAAGAACAGACGCACAATCATTTTCTCCCAGCTTGAGCAGCACCCACTCCGGCAGCGGCTTACAGTCTGACAGTTACACGCAGAGACAAAGACACCTAGACGGAGACTGGCACGGAAAGACAAAGCCCTACGGAGTGGCTGGAGGACAGACGGACCCACGAACTGTCAAACCGCGGGCGCGCAGCCCGCAGCGAGACGCCACCGCAGCAAACACTTCGCCGAAGGGAGCCAAACCCGCGAGCGCCGCGCCTTACCTGCCCCTGAGCCTGGGGACTGACTTGAGTGAGTGGGTTTTCTGGTGGGTTTTTTTTTTTTCCTTTTCCTATTGCGGGGGTCTGTTGCGGTGGGTTCCCGTCTCTTCCCGGAGCTGCGGCCGGGTGGTCCCACCGTGCGTGCGCCCCCGCTCGCTGGACCAGGCAAAAAGAGTAACTTTGGGCCACCCCGCCAGCGCGCTCGCCCGTCCTCTCCCTCGCTGCGCG